AATGAAGCCAGGTGAATATCATCTATCTTGATTGTTGTTTGAAAGAAACCTTGACAAGCTGGTACAACATGGTTCATTGCTCCATGTGTATATAATAATATCGTTAATCACCAACATAAAGAACACTTTGAGAGCCACATTCCCAGGGTTGGCTAAAGGCCCAATTGTGGTGACCTTTGGGTCATGCAAGAAGTAAGTAACTATTTCTGCTGTTACCACTTTTCTCACAATCCATCCCCTTGCCCCTGGTAAAGACCCTTTTACAATAACACCATCAGTTAGCGCAGTAAGCATTAGTACAATGTTTATATTTAATTACTATAGTTAGGACAATATCCATATTTATGTATAATATAAATATATTTATGGTTATATATATGTAGTATTCATTGAGTAAAGTATTTATAGATACATGTTACTCATTTATTCTCTTGACCTATGGCCACTTGAATTTTGTGATAAACTTGTGCAGAGCTCTTTAAAATAGTAATGAACTAAGTCATTTTCCTCAGGCCAGCCACTATCCATTGGGATTACATCCAGAGGAAGTTTTAGTTGAATTTCCCAATACATTTGTACTATATGATTTATTTATATAAGGTACTTGAATCTTACCAGCAATACCAGTATTATACCATAGTATGGCTATGATATAGTTTGGTTTAATTACAAAATGAATCAGGAAGTATCACAGAAGTGTTTATTAAACCTTCCTAGAAGAATTACCCCTGTTATTTCTAGGTTTCTTGTTACTTGGGGACAAATAATTTATCTCAGTTCACATTATTATACAGTTACAAGTTCCCATTAACTGTTTCACAGCAAGGTCATCTCCTTTCCTTGGGCAGTACATGGGGTATTGGTTCTATTCCTACTAGGTAGTCTTGTTTTTTTTATTAGTAATAATTATACAATTAATATTAATTGAACAAAATGTAATGAGTTTCATTATGACATTTCCATATATGCATATAATGTACTTTCCCTCTTCCCTTCCCACGTCCCTAATAGTCTCCTTTTATTTTCATGTCCTCTCTTGTTTTTGTGAGTCTGGTAGTCTTACTTTGGTCCATCCTTTGGTCAAGACCAGTCAGCAATCAGTAATATAGGTTACAATCCCTCCTCAATTTCCATAAAATTGGGAATCTGTATATGTCTCAAGGATTCTCTCCCTGAATTTCCACATCTTATAAATGGAAGGCTACTACCCATGGCTACTTTTAAGTAAAATTATTTTTTAAGTAAAATTATTAACAGACCCCGTTGTGTCAGAGTTTATATGCTTAGTCCCATTTTTGAGTCCTAGAATTCTGTAGCATTATGTGTTAGGTCTGTTTGACCATTTTATCAAAGCTTTATTATCTTTTCAAATGGATTTCCTTCTTCCCCCCTACTCCTGGAAGATAATTCATTCCAATCTGTCTATTTTATTGAATATATCTTTTTCTTTCTTAGAGTCACTGCTAATTAAAAGTAAGTTCTGCTTTTCTCACTATACCTGGGTCAGTCTTTATTTCACCTAGAGCCCATTTTTGTTTTACTGGACAGTGTTTAATCTAGTACATGACTTGCTATTGAGTATCAACTGCTTGAATACATGTACTGTATCCCAAAAATGTTGAGTACTTCATGCTAGAGTCAAGTGTTATAGTACACTCCCACACGTCATTTAGTTTGAGTGCCATAAGCATTCCCATAATATTCTTTGTCTCAGGTTACGGTTGTTCTCAGTGGGGACATTAATCCAATTTATAATGCCTAATAAATTATTTTCATTCATAGCCTGCTGTCACTGTTTATCCTGTTTAAAATTTCTCCACCCACAGAAACAGGGATGATGTGTATTCTTAGATATCTTCAATGACAGGTCAAGTCCATTACATCTGGGGGCTTATATGAGCAGTCATTAAAACATATGGTTACACAGTTTTCAGTATGCTTGACATTATATATTATGCATCATAATCCTCAGAAGAAATTTTTGGGTAATTATTTCCCCCAATATTTTAATTAAGGAGAGTTTCCACAACTCAGCTTCATCACCATTTTACCAGTAAAATGCAGATGACGCAGCTAAATGTCCAGTGATAGTTATAAACATCACTTATGTTTGAAAAATAATCATATGTTATGAAAATTAAGTATATAAATGGCCTTACAGCACTCCCAAATATTTAAAAGCAAAAGGAATTACAGGCTATATATTTAATCTTTTTGTCCCAAATGGATAAAGTGATATAATCCACTAAAGAGTAAAAGATGTCCTTTAAAAGTTTCTCTAATAGATTAGAAGTTTTAAGTCATTCTTGAAAAATTCTACAGAGGTTAATTTTCATAAAATATATTACAAACTGTGACAATTACTTAAATGATGAGATCAGAGCTAAATGTCCAATGAAGCTTGTGCAACACTAACATTCTTTATAAACCTATTATTTGCTGACAGAGTCTATAGATTTACTATAGCACTTAGAATACAGAAATGTATGTTCTAATGTGAATATATACAAATGAAACACTCTTGTCCTTGTAACTATAATCTTTGAACTAGTTAGTCATACTAGATGGCAATTTCTTCCCAACCTCAGAGATAAAGACAGCATGATACACAAATGTCAAATATTAACACACTGTGAAGCTATTGAGTGGCCTGGCATAGGAATTCTAAACATCTTTTGATCACAGTTAGTAACAGAGTGAACCTGCCACCAATGTGATAAGCAGTTTCTTTGAGGAGGAGGACAGAGTCAATTAACTTTAAACACTGAGATAAAATCCTCATTTATTATAATATGCCAGTCTCTAATCTTTTATTGAGTTTTTATAATAAAATTTCAATTTTCCATCTATTCCTTAATCCAGTTAACTTTCTTGCTATATAGAAATCCTCACTGTTCCTCTCTCTCCCAAATAAATTGGGTTTCTCTTTGCTTTATGAAGAGTAAATGAAGTGGCCAGAGATCCACTGCCTCTTGAGAAACTTCTCCGTATTTAAAAAAATATTCTATTCTATATTGTCTCTACTATAAGATCATCTGAAAGCATTAACTCTCTACTGAACATTCTGGAGAAGTGGAACACCATTCTGTTGTGTTGAGAATATTTGAAGGGAGGAGGAGGTCCTGGTAGCATGGACCAGGGCAGAAGCAATGGAAGTAGTACAAAATAATCAGATTCTGCAAATATAATGAATGTAGAACCAATAGGATATATTGATGGAAGTTATGTGGGAAGTAAGAAAAAAGAAGAATAAAGAATAATTCAATATTCTTGGACAGGGCTCAAGAAAAATTCTTTTGAAAATGGGTACAATAATGGCATATTTTTGTCTTGATGGGAAAGATCTAGAGGAAAGGGAGGCATTGCTAAAAATAGGAGAGTGAGAGAGAAAATTACTAGAGAGATGTTCTTGAGTATACAAAAAACAAAAAGAATTCTGTACACTAGGGAAAGAATTGGCCATCACAAGGGAACAGTTCAACCATAGTAACAGTACAAGGCAGAGGAGTAGAATATAGACTCAGATGCAGATAGATAGATAGGTAGATGTGAAAGCCCTCTTTGGATAGCTTCAATTTTTCAGTGGAATAAGATACAAGTTGACAGTAGAGTTTGAGGAGGAGTCTGAAGTTTAGGGAACTTGTATAATTAATAATCTAGGAAAGTAGGAGAGTAAATAGCTAAGAAAACATAGTACAATTAATGGGCAGCATTAAGGGTCCACTCTGAGACTGTGGTCATGAATTTAAAGTGCGATCAGTATAGCTATAAATTTTTCCCCTGCTAATTCAGTTATGCAAGGTTCAGGCACAAAGTTACTAGAGAAGTAAGATCTAACCAGAGCTGGATTTTGCCAGCAAGTATATCCAGCCTCCCATATCCATAGTTTCTGCATGCATGAATTCAATTAATCTTGGATTGAAAATATTCAGAATAAAAATCTCCTCAACATGTACAAGCTTTTTTCTTGCAATTTATCCCCCACACAATACAGTGTAAGAACTACTGACATAACATTTACATTGTATTAGGTATTGTAAGTTATCTAGAGATTATTTAAAGTGTCTGGGAAGATTATATAGGTTATATGCAAAAGCCATACCATTTTATATAGTGAACTTGTGCATCTGCAGATTTTGATATCCATGGGGGAGATTCTGGAACAATCCCCCATGGATACTGAAGGAATGACTATAACAAAGAGAGTGAAGGGTCAAGAGCATGGAAGATATATGTATAAGAGTGGCCATGGAATTTAAGCCAACTAAGAGAAGTGAGGATATTGTGGGGTTAGAGGTATGAGGTTGGTGAGGGATAGTTTAAAGATGTCAGGATCAATGCTACAGAATTATAGGTACATCCCTGTTCAATAATGCTTTGGTGGTTTTGCTCTATTATTTAGAAACTTTGTACCTTTTAATAGATGAGTGTTAAAATATAACAGAAATTTTTAATATGTGAGTTAGCTTAGCACTACATCATGTGCAATTAGATCTTTAAACCTGCCTTGTCATGAAATTCAGCCTAGTCTCTTTTCTCAACCCAAACATGCAAATACATACACAAGTAAAACAAGAATGGTTACTTTTGGGCAGTGACAATAGTTACTTTGTTATATTGGTTTTTTATGAAGGTTACTTCCTCAGTACTTTCTAATTTCTGAATTTTCTTTATTAAGTATGAAATGCTTTTATAATTTAGGAAAATGTTTATTTAAAATAACATATGTATTTACACCTATTTATAATTAAGTGCTGGCCATACTCCCAAATGAGGTTGTTAAAGACTTAATCAGGTAGAATTAAATTTCTTGACAAATGATAGAAAATAAAAGATTTGAGAAGATGGAAGATGACATACTTTTTAAAATGATTATATTTCATAAAACATATGCCTCAGATCTTTGTCTAGCAACTACAGTATTTTAAAATGCAAGATAATGAAATTATAATTGAAATAGTAAAAATAATTTAAAATTGGAAGAAAGGAGAATTACAGACCTGCTTCCTGCTTTGAGCTCTTGCATTCCGTAATCTTCGAGCAGAATAAAAGATAAAATACCCCACAGTTGCTGCCGTAATAATAAAAAAGGACACAGACACGAAGAAAATTGAATAGTGGTTCACCCAAGGACCATGTTTTTTCCCTACTTCGATGACCATTGTTACTTGTATGCCTCTTTGAATAGAATGAAGAATTTTTGTTCCTTTCAGATTGCCAATCATGATTGCAACAATGTCTCCTGCACCTATAAAAGAAAATAATGAATTCAGTTTTAGTTTGGTATTTTTGTATAAAATTCAATAGCCAAAAATGATTCAAAATGAGACAAAAGAAGGCTATGCTTTCATTCAATTCACATTTATCAAACACCTGCTATCAGGGATATAAACATGCATGAGACTTGGTTACTGATTCTAAGGATATCATAGTTTAGCAAGGAAGTTATTTTATACAATAGATACCTCCCTCATCTTCAGATTAATTACCTGTAATTCAACAGTATTGCCTTTGGAGTCTACTTTGCATCTTATGTGAAGGCTTGCTTAATGACAAATAGTCCCCTGGCTGGTAGAAAATAGAGCTCACATACTAAGGAATCTGAGATTTGGGAAGTAGAAAAACATTTAACTATATACTTTCCAATTTATAAGGTGACAGATAATCATATGCACTCACTACTAACATGTATAAGTATTTACATATCAGGATAGTAATCTGAGACAAATAATGTTTATAAACCCAAATGTACAACCTATGCATATGTCCATGATGTGCCATTTTTCCATACCATCAAAAGCAATATAAAAGTTGTTCAAGCTATTTGGCAAGAGGAAGGGGACCCATGAAGGGAGAGGGTGGCTAAGAAAGGGGAGTGGGGGTGAATACGATCAAAGTATATTATAAAACATGTATGAAAATGTCATAATGAAACCTATTATTTTGTAGAATTAACATATGCTAATAAAATTAAGGAAAAAAAGGAAAAGGTGTCCAAGGTCTTCTAAGGTTTTGCATGGACCTGATTATATTAGCAATGAAGATAGCACATAGAATTGATAGAAATGAATGTTTCTGGCTGGGGATATAGAGCTCAGTGGTAGAGTACTTGCTTAGTATGTGAAAGGCTCTTCTTGGTACGATTCCTAGCACTCCAAACAAACAAACAAAAGATATTTATGTTTCTATTCAGCACCAATTATGGATAAGCCTGAAATTAAACTACTCTTATTACTACAGGCCCAATATTTATAATAACCTGTCTCTACTCCCAAATATATGTTTTGTTGGAAAAGGACAAACATTATCTTTGCCAATGTTCTGAGAATAACATGTTCATTGCATTACAATGGTTATCAAGGTTTATATTCCTCCTAGTTTATATTACCTGAGATCAATAATCTTAAGCCAAAAAATAAAGTTCTTTGAATGTTAAGGTATTGCCAACCACAGAAATCTTTCACTGATACTAGGTTAAGGTACTAGTCTAGGTTAATGATCAAACTCCAATCTGGAATAAACAACCACACACAAACAAGACTCTAAAAAAGACCTTTAGACTAGAATTTAAACATGAAAGTACAATACTAAAGTAGTATTCATACTTTATATGATCAAATTAAGGGTATAAACCTTAAATGGCTATGTGTATTATAGAATTTTTACACAAGTAATTCCTGAAATTTATACTTCCCAGTAGCCAAAGTCTTCAAAAGATCAGGGCACACAGAAATACCTCACAGTACACTAGTTATGACCCTCTCTTTATTTGAAGTTATTAATTCAAATATATATTTAAAGGATATCACTACAGATCCTTAAAGTTCGAAAAGACACTATTTTTAGATGTTATGGCAATTTAGTTAAACTTTTTTATAACTCTACTGACTAATGCATGATCACTCATTCTGATAGAGGTTAGTGACTCACTCTGTTCTCATTTACATGGGGAAAATCTCAAAAGCAATGGGAAATGGAGTGTGAAATAAAGATACCTTCTGGTGTGTCTTCCAAAATGAATATATGACCCAAATATACCTTATGGGGAGAACTGGTAAGAGAATGGCTCTTTTCTCTATTTGTGGGCATTAAATTTCTAGATATGACACTAAAACCACAGACATTGTCTTTTCTCTATAAGCCACTCTTAGAAAAAAAAGTCTAGTTATAAAGGTTTGATTTAATTATATAACCTAGCATTTATTTCTGATGTTGTATCCTGTATAATAATTGAAAACATAGTAATTTTAAAAATCAGGCTTTGGAACATATTGTATCTTAAAGATTTCTATTAAAATCACAGATATGGCCTTCTAATATGGTTTTGACTAATGGAAATAAGTTTTTATTGTTTTAGAAGATAGAAGTGGGTGGGTGGCTCAGGAACATACTGTCTATTGTGGTCACATGGAGATTAAACCAAGGAAAGTCAAGAAATGTACATTGTTTCCATATCAGGAACAATGCTGTGTTTCATTTCCCACAATCCATATTCATACATGCTATATGTAGTCTCACAATAAAAATCACCAGATAAGCTTTCTATTCCTATAAAAGACTTATTTCTAAGTGGTAGTATATATCGCATCCTCCTTAAACCCTTGCAGCTATCTAAAACCTGCTCCACTTTCAGTGTTCCTAATCACAATTAATGGCATCACAATCCTTCTGGTCACCTACTTTTTTACACACAGAATCATGTTTGAGTCTCTGCTGTTCACCTAGCCAATCATATAGATCCTACTTACTTTCTTGCTATCTACCATTATCAGATCCTTCTTTCTACTCCTGTTGTGTTAGTAAAGACCTTCATAATTCCCTTGCCTAAACTATTTTCAGTAACCTCCTAATTGGTCACCCCATATCCAGCATCCTTGAAGTTAAGTTTATCCAGTATCCTTAAAGTATAGTATTTTTAATGAAATCCTTTTAAAGTTTCAACAGAGTTCACTTTCCAGTTTGCCTTTTGCCATCACTTGATTGGATCATGTCTTGTCCTTGTTCAGAAATCTCCAGTGGTTCATTGTTACTCATTAAAGTCTGACTCTTTGACCTAGAATGTCAAGCTTTGTATGATCTGGTCTCAACTGCTTTTTCCAGTTTGATGTACCTTTACTACATCCCCACCTCATGAATCCTATGATTCAGCCACATGTGATTGACTATTGTCATTTACTATTCATTAACACTTTCTTTTTTCCTCCTACTCCCTCAGTCTAACATGGCCTATATCTGCTCTGACATTCCCCCCTTTTTTGCTTGTCTATTACTCAAGATCCAGTTCAAATGTTGTGGCTAGATCATCTTCCCAAGTTCCAAGTGAGGAAGCAACTGCTCACTCTTTGTTCCCCTATCACTTGACTTTTAACCCCTATCTAGTACTTTATTTTGCTTTGTACTTCAGTCATCATGCTTTACTCCCTCTCTAAATTAAGAACCATTTTAAGGGAAGAGGGAATCCCTTAATTAACTACAGTAATGCCTTCCTTTATGTGGTATTGTCAGGAAATTAGATGTTTCACGTAAGTAAAATTTACACGTGACAGCTTTATGCAAATAGTTAATTTTAACAATTTTTATGCAAGCAAAATTTTAATAACAAAGATACTATTTTTAACATGATCAAATATACTTGGCTAAGTCTGTATCTTTAAAAATCTATGTAGCCCAATAGTACAATCAGTTTTGTATGGAATATTTCTCAAAGCAACAGAAACTACATTTAAACACACAAAGAAAAAATATTTAAAGAGAATCTGTAAGTTTTATTTTATTTCTGCACAAAAGTGTATTTTATGCTGATTAAATATTTACAAGTACTTTTCCATTACAAAAATAACATATGTTCCTAATAGAGTTAATGACTGGGTTAATCTTTTACTCCAATTTGATTGATTTATAACCTAACTCTTACAACCATAAAAATGTTTTATTTGTATTAAGAGGTTACCAATTTGTGCAAAATGCTAAAAATATATTTCAAAGAAAAACTAGCAACACATTTTTATAATATAGTCTGATAGTTTTATTGATTGTGAAGTCTATTCTATTAAAAACTGATGATTGCTTTTATGTTGCCTATATACAAAATAGCAGCAGACCACTGGTACAAGCTCTTTTCTCTTTTGTTGAGACAGGGAATTAGTCCAGGTTGGCCTCAAACTTGCTATGTAGCCCAATCTAGCCTCAAATTCATGATCTCCTACTTCCATCTCTCAAGTGCTGGGATTAGAGATGTGTACCACTATGCCCAGCTTATGATACATGCTGTGGATTTTGAAGCACAGCTTCATAAGGACACTTAGACTTTGACCTGCATTCTAAAAAACATAGCATAAGAAAACCACCCCAAACTGTTTGGTTAATTCCATTATATTCTTAATATGTGGAACCCTTTTTTTTAACTGTTGTGCTGGGTGGGGGTACATTGTAGCATTTACAAAAGTTCTTACAATATATCAAATATATCATACTTGAACTCTTGTTCCAGTGGACCACTGTATGGATGTTTTTTATTCTATGAAGTGCTATAATAACTAATAATTTTGGATAGACATTTAAAAAATAATCTAATACTGCCATTATTTTCATAACTAGGATATACTGATTATGATTTATTGTCAGTGGATCATCTTTATAAGCCATTATTTAACATAGTAGTAATATTATTTGTCTCCAAACTGTTGAAATTTTTCACCAACATCATGCATCTTTGAAGCTGGAACTGACCTTAAGGAACATTCAGTGTGACTCATTTTTGAATTCTCACATTGGGCAATTTTCCTTGAGGGAGAAAGATTCTCACTAACTTGTTGCTTCTAGCAGCAGCTCTTCTCTCTAATTTTATGCTTTTAATCTGCTATTGACTCAGAAAAGACAATCAAGCTTGGGTCTACAGAAAGAGTAAAATGGGCTTCTACAGTGAGCTTGAGAGGGCTTCAGTACAAGTACCCTTACACATTTATAATGGTTGCTCAGTGACATTTTTGTTTACTTCCTGAATTGTGGCTATGTTCTGGATAACTGAGGTTGTTTGGTAAGATTTAGCTATAAATCAGGCCCTTTGCATATTTAATCCTCACATCAATCTTGTAAAATAAGCATTGCTATTGTCCCCATTAAAGATAAAATTGGCTAACTGGCCTAGGATAATACAAGCTAGTAAGTGCTAGAACTGGTATTTGAACCCCAGATAGTTTGACTCTGGTGCCTCTGCTTTTCATTGCTATTTTATATTAGCTCTTTATC